GGATGCAGGTATCGAATAATTTTCGCTTGATAAACATATTAATATCTCGATTAGTCATAATGTCTCTGAAGTTCCAGTATTGTTTCCAAGTGTTTCCCACACGACGATCTATTTCTTTTGAGGTTTTCAATTATACAAAAATACAAATCTTTCCTCTTTATAATATCAGTATAGATTGTTGAAGGTTTTATACTTTTGCTATTGTTAAAACTATTTTTATTGTATATTGTAATTAGTATCCATCTGTTAGATTTAGTTGGGTTCTTTGGTCTTTAAATTAAAAGATCTGTGGTGGTAGGTGGTGATGGTGTCGCTGGGGTGATGAGTGATGGTGCAGATTTTAAATGATGCGACCGTTATTCTTCAACCAATTTATTCACACCAAAAACACCTTATCCACAACACAATATATATATTAAAAAGAAGTAGAAGGAGAGTGCAACACGTTATAAGTAGAAGAAGAGAAGAAACACAATAATAATAAGCTGGGATAACAAGAGCGATAATTAACAGTGGTCAGCGCGGGCACAGTTTGAAAGCGACTGTTAATTAACCGCGCGCGCCGCTCGGTCAATGACCCCGGTCAGCTGTGCGGTCGCGAATTTAAATGTACCAATGACAGGTCACAAAAATAGATGCGTTGCCTATATTTCGACCACTCGTCGTGCACCGTGTTTATATGTGTGAGTGAATGTACGTGTTATGTAAGTGTGTATGTGTGCTGTGTATGAATGTTAAGTGTAACTGTGGAGTGTTTTCGTAAAATGTATCAGGTTCCCTACAGATCATTTTCATCTCATTTTTATGGAATTGTTGATTATTACAATTGTGTACTAAATTAAACTTATCCAGTTATACTATTTTTTAGACTTGATCGTAATCTATACTATTATAACAAAGCGTAAACACACACTTCACACACAAAGCAAGATTAATTTGACAAATGAAAACAATAAAATAAAATTTTTAGTAATAATTTCATGCGGATGAAGCCGCGTGCGAACAGCTAGTTTTATCTAAAGTAAAGCAAGTTTGGGAATTTCCAGTCAACGATGGGGGTGGGGGGTCTAGTAGTAAAATATGAATATTTCATTCCCAGGGAATAAAAAAATACTTAGTATCAGTAGCCTATGTTCTTCCAGACTAAATTTTACATTTCTTACCAAATATCAGCTAGTTAATTAGAGAGAGAGATATATGTAGTAAGAAACATCCATCCATTCGCATTTATAGTAAGATAATTTGTCCCTAGGTGGTATCCTCAGCTATAGTAGATAAATACATCGGAGAGTCAGCGCGTCTTATCCGGGAGATGTTCAACTACGCACGAGATCACCAGCCTTGTATTATATTTATGGACGAAATTGATGCTATCGGTAAGTAATAAATAGGTACTTAAGTAACTGAAAAAACTATTCCCTCGTAGTCTTTGACTCCAAAAATCAAACAAAAAAATGAGACCCACCTGCAAGTACTACCTTTCAGGTAAAAAAAGAATTATCAAAATTGGTCCACTAGCGGCGGAGTTATGACGTAACACACATAAAAAAATTTACAGACGAATTGAGTACCTCTTTTGGGACGTCGGTTAAAAATACACAGAAAATAGAGATTTCCCTTTCCCATACAATTTAGTGCAATTACAATACTTTTACGACTGCTTTTAACAAAGAACTTGAGATATCTCCATACATTTTTTATAATGGTCATTTTATAGTTTGTAGGTAAAAGTGCTCAACAAAACTCTATGAAATTTTGTCATAGATGTAAATTTTTTCAATTTCACGTTGACCAAGTCGCAGGCGAAAACTAGTGTAAAATAATAATTAAATAGTAAGATTACAATTAGTTATACAATTTCTTGTAATTACTTGAAATTAGCCGTCGCCCGCGACTCCGTCCGCGTTGAACTGGAAAAAACAAACGTGATTACCTTATTGTTCTTCCAGACTATCCTCTACATCTATACCAAATTTCATTGAAATCCGTTCAGCAGTTTAGGCTACAAACTGTAACAAACATCCATCTAAACTTTTACATCATGCTAATATTATAAATGCGAAAGTTTGGATGGATGTTTGTTACAGTTTGTAGCATAAACTGCTAAACGGTTTTCAACGAAATTTGGTACAGATGTAGAGTATATTCTGAAAGAAGACATAGGGTACTTGCTTTTGTTTTTTTTTAATTCCACGCGGACAGA